GGTTTATCTTATTTTGGAACCAGTGCTCTAAACCATTTTGTTATATTTCCTTTTTATTATTGGGGAATATAAAGTTTTTTTTTTTTTCAACGTTTTTTTATTTATTTATGGGACAGACAGAGACAGAGCATGAACGGGGGAGGGGCAGAGAGAGAGGGAGACACAGAATCGGAAACAGGCTCCAGGCTCTGAGCCATCAGCCCAGAGCCCGACGCAGGGCTCGAACTCACGGACCGTGAGATCGTGACCTGGCTGAAGTCGGACGCTTAACCGACTGCGCCACCCAGGCGCCCCTTTTTTTTAAAATTTTTTTCAACGTTTTTTTTATTTATTTATGGGACAGAGAGAGACAGAGCATGAACGGGGGAGGGGCAGAGAGAGAGGGAGACACAGAATCGGAAACAGGCTCCAGGCTCCGAGCCATCAGCCCAGAGCCTGACGTAAAGTTTTTTATACATGTGTTTACTGTTTTCTCGCTCTTATGAATTATCATGTTAATCATTTCCTCTCTTGATGTGATTTTTAATACATTTATATGAACATTAAACATTAAAATATTTTGAATTTCCTTAATTTATAATTTTTATATGATTTGACTTTGTCTTTCCAAATTCTCATCCAAAGATAAGCAAGGCATTATTTTTGAGGATTTTTTTTTGAGATTTAGTTTTGAGAAATTAAACTCTAACCCATCTAGAATGAATAGACTTAGAAGGTTGTATCTCAGTTTTTCATGGGATTGTTTCAGTACCATTTATTGAATAAAGTTTTCTTCATTGTCCTATGATGGTTGCTTTATACATTCCTCATATGGAATATTCTCTTTGAACCTTCTACCTTCTTTTCCTGCTTGTCCAAATCCTGTTCATTTTTTAAAATCTGTCTTAGCTACTAGGGCTTCATAAAACCTTTCCCAATACCTGATTGCCATGCTTTACCCTTAGCTGAAATATCTTCTTTTAGTTGCCACAGCTCTGTATGTAGATATTTTTCATGAAACCTCATTTTTACCTGGAAAGTTTTAATTGCTACAGTAAGAGTGGACAGACGTTTCTAGAGAGTGCAGTACATCTTTTTCATCATAGCATTTCCTTGGGTGTTTATTTTGGGACTTTATACAAATAGATTTTCCAGTAAATATTTGGAGTGGTTTTTTACATTTATATACAATTGGACCATTGTGATTTCTCTGTTCTCTTCCTCTGACTATATATCTGTGTGAGTTCCACACAATTTTAATTATTAATGTGTAAGACTGGTTTTTTTCTTGTTTTTTTTTTTTTAAATTTATAAGCTTGCATGTTTCTTTTTTTCTTAAATGGATTTGGGATAACCTTTTCAGTTTCTTAAAACTTAGGTATTTGCCGGAATTCTCTACTAATGCATTTTCATAATATTGTCTGATCTGGAAATGTGGTCGATAGGCCCTTTAAATCAGTTTCTATTTTTTTTTTTTTTTTTCTAAGATGGCTTTAAGATCGCTTTGTGTTATGTCAAGGGGAGCTTAAACAAATTAAATTGAATTCAATTTTATCATATACCCAAACGAAGGAGGAACAGTGCAGGTTGCATAACCAGTTAGACTTAGGTATCATCATTTGAAATGCTGTAAAGCTGTAAATGTGGTTGACAGAATGCTCTGAAGTCATAGCTTTTATGTTTTGCTGGAGGCAAAGGAATTTTAACACTTAGTTGAAGAACGTCTAGGTTTGCGGATTTTAGATGCCTGGATTATCTCATTTACATAGCATCTGATATTCATTATTTATGAGGTGACATTTGATTTCTAAGGGTGAAAACAGTTACAAGTGTTTTCTTATTTCTTGATTTATTAAGAGACAGGATGAATAGATTTTTTCCTAGTGGTTTTATGCAAGTGGCACTGGTTTTTCTGCTCTGGTTTATGAAATGGCCAGCCAAGCCACTTGTTTTGTTTATTTCTGGGTGGCTTCGGTCTGCCTTAGGGAAGTAAGTTTGTTTTTGGCAGAAAAAGCAAAAATGTGTTTATTCATTCCATTTGTAGTAACATTGATCCGAGAGGAGCTTTTGAGGAAAACCAGAATGGTTCGGCTTTGAACATAAATAGCTCCCATTCATCTCTTAACTGATAGGAAAAAATAAAAGATTAGGATTAATAATGTATAAATTACAGACAAGTCCTAGAGCACAAGTTGCAAACTGATGGTTCATCAACCAGATGGAGCCCTCAGACTGTTTTTCAGGCCTACTGATGATTTCTAAAGCTTAATTAGGTGATAACATCTAAGACTTGTTTTATGTGAATATCCAGCACCAGATCACCTGCATTTTTAGCATGGCATGTTAATAGCCATGGCACCCCTGAGATTAAGTATAGACATTTGTTTGCTTCTGATGTTCCTGTAGCCAACTCCAAACTCATTTAACTTTGCAGCCCTTGTTCTGGAGGCTCTTGGATTAAGAAGTAATAGCAGGTAGATTTAAGGCTGCTCATTCAGCAGAACCCTCAACTTTGAGTTAATAGGAGCTGGAATAGTAGGTGTGAAGATTTTAAGTAATGAGAGGGTTAGTGGAATGTGGGATGTGTGAGAGAAAGAAGTTGCAGAGGAAGCCAGGGTTTTTGCCTGAGCAACTGGAAGGATAGAGAAGCCATCAACTGAGTTGAGGGAGACAAAGTAGATGAGGTCTGGGGAGGGAAGCTGAGTAGTTTAGTGTTGATATGTTAAAGTTGGAGGTATCTGTTAAAACATCCTAGTGGAGATTTGAGTAGGCAGTCAGTGGCTATGAGAGTGTGGAGTTGGAGAGAAATGTCTATACTGGATAAGTAAATTTGATATATGTAGTTGATACATAAAGCCATGAAGGAATGAAATCAAAAAGGGAGTGGAGGACCCAGAACTGAGTCCTGGGCATGTCAGCATTGGGGGGTTTGAGAGAAGTTCAGCAACAGAGATTAAGAAAGCATCCATTGAGGTAGAATGAAAAGGAGAGGAGTATGGTGTCCCAAAAGACAAGTGTCCTGGTTTCATCCTAAAAGCAGAACCTGAGACAGGGACTTTTTAAGCAGGTAATCTATTTGGGGACCTGTTAACAGGAAACAAGTTGGAGAATGGGGGCAAGTGAAACAGAGGGGAAGGAAGGTCAGTGCAAGGGCACATTATTAACTGGTCACATCTGTGAGCCACTGGGACTTGAGCCTGAGGAAGTCCTTTGAGAAGACACGAAGAATATGCCTCTGTGTGCCAAGAAGGGGGGTGTTTACTACCAGATCCCATTCCCCAGTGGTCAGGGGTTGCCCATAGTGTGTTGGTGTTAACATCTTCACACTTCGTTTGCATGTCTCAGGATGGCTGAAAAGTTGCTGTAAGTCTCTCTTCTAGCAGAGCCTGTGAGCAGAAAGTGAGCCCAGTGGTACAGTTAAGGGGAGGTGCCTCGGAGTGAATATGTGAGGTAGCACACAAGAGGTGTCCCATACAGCCATGTATCCTCCATTAAGCACTTGGCATTTACTCCATTGTCCTGCAGAGTTTTCAAGATGGTGGCTGGCCACAACTTCTACATCAGACTTACAACAGGAGGGTTAGTGAATAATGTTCATTTTTGCAGTTCTCTACCGCTCAATCTAGATTTGCCTTATCTTCAGCCAGTACTTCAACAGGTGGAAGCATTGTCCTGGTCCAGTGACTCAGACCTTCTTCTCCAAGGGATCAGTGCCTGTAGTTGCCTTAACCTTGTTGGGCTATAATTGCTGCAGCTGCTCATTTACAGTTATTACTGAGCACGGCAGCCCCAGTCGAACCCCCTAGGTTCTGGATAGATTCCCTCCTGTCCCCATTGTGTGGCAGCAGCCATAAGTTCTCATGTTGTTAGGGTCACTTTACAGGACTTCCCAATATGGTAACTCTTTCCTTAGCATGCTGGTCCAGTAAGGAATCTAAGATAATCAGGTGATAGTTGCCTGAGAATTCTTCCTGTGTCTTCTGGCAGAAACTTCTTTTCAAGTCTCCTACTATCTGAATTTCTTAATCCAGTGGAGCTGAAGGTTGCCAATTGTACTTCCATCTGCTGGTTCCAGGACTTTTTTTTTTTTTTTTTTTTTTTTAATCTGTCACAGATACAGTACCACATTTCAGCCTTTAGTAGACAGTGTGTCAGATCTTTACCATCTTGGAAGGCAGTGCCCCAACCCCTCTAAATTTTACTAACCACATAGAAATTGTATGTTTGTAAAGTCCAGAACTCTGGTCATACAATAAACAATTGGGGAAATAAGTGTTTACATAAAGGTGAGTAGTTACATTAGTCAAATGTGTCCCCCTACTCTGTGCGAACTAAGCTAGTTTGCTGTAGTGGTTATAGTTGCTCTCAGTTGTAAAGTTAGAATAAGATCATTCTGAAGATTTGATTTTACCGAAAAACGTTTCAGGAGTTGAAATCGTAAAGTCATTCCTACAGAGGACTTCATGGTTCACTTGAGTTTTGCCTGATGTGCTTCTGGAAAGTAATAGGTTATGGTCATGGAATTATAAGGATCTTAGTACCTTTGGTAAAACTCATTTTTTTAATACATTGAAAGGAAGTGAACTTAAATTATGATGTAGAAGTAGATCTCTTTGATAATTTTAGGCCCCTGTTGTAAGAATAAAGACAAATTACTAATTTTCTTCCCTTGCTGTCTCCTGCTTCATAAGCTATGATGAGCACTGTGTACTTCTCTTGATACAGATTTTTAGTCCTTGAGTGTCTTGAGGGTGGCAGTTAGGGTGTCTCATCCAAACCTGTTGGTGTTTCCTAGGGCTTCACACAATGCCTCACTCTTAGTAGGTTCTCTGTAAACAGTTGTTGATTTAATTCAAGGAGATGCCTGTACATACATATACATACACACATATGTGTATAGCATATTCATGTGATATGTGATGGCATTCATAAACCTTATTAAAGTTAGTTTTTTAAAATTAAACATGTTTTAAACTATAATAATGTTTTAGACTTTCTTTCTTTTTTCTTTCTTTAAACAGATAGAAGGACAAGAACAGAATCACCAGCACTGGCTGAAGGTAAATATGTCTTTGGGGGAAATGATAAATTCAGATACAAATGAAAGGTTATGATCTATATAGAAAATTCCTTTGGCTAAACATAATTTAAGGAAGATGTTCTATATAATATTGAACTGCTAAAAATATCTTTAGGAAATGCCCTATATTGTTTAGTTTCTTGGAACAGGAAGTAGGGAAAAGTAATTAGAACTTTTTTTTTTTTTACAGCTTTCTTTCAGTAGAAGAGGTATGTGTTTTTCTTTGAATTCCCTTTTAAGCCATTTTAGCTATCACCAGTATTGTTAATCAGGAAAGGTCTAACACATAATTCTGGTGGTTTATGTATATGTTAGAAAGGAAGAAGAAGTTTTTACACACTTTCTTAAATAAGAATTCTCCCTATTATTGGTTTTGGTCCTTTTGAAAAAGTCTTTGAAGTAAAGAACACATCAACAACAACAAAAAGTTACTGATACAGGGTTCTGAGTACTTAAACATTTTTAATCCTGTAATTGTTTTAATTATTACAAGTTAATAGGTATTTGAAAATGTCATTTTCTGTAGACATACTTTGTGTGATCAAGTGAAAATGATCAGCTTAAAATCTCTGTGCTCTTCCTAGTCATAAACAGAGATATTTACATTTCAAAACTTGCCTGTCATTTTACTAGAACTGATAAGACAGTTATCGTGGTGATCTTTTGGAATTGTAATTACCTCACCTACTCTGTATGTTACAGTGCAGGAGTTCTCACCCATTTTTTGTGCCATGGACCTCTGGTAATCTGGTGAAGCTTGTGAATCCCTTCCCAGAACAATGATTCTACAAATGATTCATGATTTTATGAAGCAAAATATATATGATGAAAAAAGAAATTAGTTATATTGAAGTACAGCTAACAAGTACTAAAAATGCAAATTTTTGATAGAGTAATATATATGCTTCTCACATTAGAGAGTGAGCTTTAGCAATAATTCTGTGAAATACTGTAGTTACAGTGATGAGTTTGCAATAATTATACTATAATATGAAAGTACCTGTGATTTCTGTTGATGACAAGTTCATAGGTATTTCTAACACTACTATACTTTGTTGCCTATAATCTTGATTGAAGGACTTGCAGAACTTCATATAGAGGTTAGTGAAAAGGTTCCCATCCAAACTCACAGGTCACTGAATTCTTTCTCTGGATCCCAGATTAAGAGCTCTTGTTAACGAAAAGTCAGTTAGACCTTTCTTTGTCCATCATATTTGAATACATGTAGTTTTTTATGTTCTATCTAAATAATCTTTTATTTATTTATTATTATTATTATTTTACATTTATTTTTGAGAGACAGAGACAGAGCGTGAGCAGGGGAGGGGCAGAGAGAGAGGGAGACACAGAATCCGAAGCAGGCTCCAGGCTCTGAGCTGTCAGCACAGAGCCCAACGTGGGGCTCAAACCCACGAACTGAGAGATCGTGACCTGAGCCGAAGTTGGACGCTTAACTGACTGAGACACCCAGGCGCCCCTCTAAATAATCTTTAAGAAGTAGAGTTACGCCGTCTTGCGAAATATCCTAATGGTGTAGCCTAGAAGTTCTTGAAATAGTTTTGAAGAAACTTCTGTTTGCTGGTAAATAATCACAGAAACAGCATGTTCTGTGGAAAAGATAGTTGAAGATAAGTGGTAAGCCTTGGAGAGTGCCCACCTTCAGAGAATGCACATTCTGATTCAAGGAACATGAAATTAACACGTAGAAAATAAAATAATCGAGTCTGAGATGCCGAAAGTTTAACGAGAGAAACGTCCATAATTAAATTCCACAGGAAGGATGCAAATAGTGAGGTCTGATGCGTGTGTTACGGAATCACAAAAAAAGGTCAAGACTTGTGAAAAGTCACCAAGTGTTTTACAGTTATCTCAGCAGTACGAACTGGACAGTGTTCAGGTGCCAGCCTAAGCTAGAAGAGCCCAGAATGGTGTCACTGAATTTGACAAATGGTTGTTCAGCACCTTGCAGCTGACTACAGATGAAGGGAATGGCAGATCTTTTGAAGCTTGGCTGAGAGCAGAAATGGCGCCATTACTTGTCTCGAAGGCGACATGTTGGGGCATCTGCCTGTGGGGTATTTTTTGGTAGATTTGTTCTGTCAGTGTGATCTGCTGATGCCGTATTTTAAATACGTCCCTAAAGCCTGCACTGTCCAGGTCATTGGATTAAGCCCCACTTTTTCTTCATTTTTTATTTATTTTTGGGACAGAGAGAGACAGAGCATGAATGGGGGAGGGGCAGAGAGAGAGGGAGACACAGAATCGGAAACAGGCTCCAGGCTCCGAGCCATCAGCCCAGAGCCTGATGCGGGGCTCGAACTCAGGGACCGCGAGATCGTGACCTGGCTGAAGTCGGACGCTTAACCGACTGCGCCACCCAGGCGCCCCAAGCCCCACTTTTTAAAAACTGATTTGCCCCACTTTTTAAAAACTGATTTGCCGCTTTTGCCAAGTCACCCAAGTTTCTATAGTCCTCAGTTTCTTTCTATAAAAGTAGAGAACTGAGCTACATGATTTCAAGTCCTGTCACGAGCCCTATATTCAGGGCTGATTTTCTACCTTTTCTCATACCTCTCACTTCCTTCCTCTTTTTCCCTACCAGCAATGTTCGAAATATGGTAAAAATACTCAGAATTGTTAAGTGATTTGAGCTTTGATTTATATAAATATTGCCTTAGTAAAAACTGTGCGAAACCTTAAATCTGTCATTATTAGGTAACATACTTAGTTCAAAAACAATTTTTTAAATTATGTTTAATGTTTTATTTATTTTTGAGACAGAGAGCGACAGAGCATGAACAGGGGAGGGGCAGAGGGGGGGGGACACAGAATCCGAAGCAGGCTCCAGGCTCTGAGCTGTCAGCACAGAGCCCGAGTCGGGGCTCGAACTCACGGACCGTGAGATCATGACCTGAGCCGAAGTCGGATGCTTAACCGACTGAGCCACCCAAGTGCCCCTCAAAAACATTTTTATGATGTATACATTCTGCATTTTGGTCTGCTGGATTCTTTTTCGTATTATAGGAGATATGTATTGTAGGAGATATAAATGTAGAAAGATTATTCAAGTACATATCTTTAAAATGATATGATTACCAAAAAGAAAATTTGTATTTTGTTTTTGTATTCTGTTTGATTATGATGAGCCTGGAGGAGTTATATTTAAGCAAATCATTTTAATTGAAGTTCAGGAACAAGGGAAACATTTGTGCCCTCCTGTAATTTCACTGTACTAAATTCCTTTAGCATGCCAGGCTCAAACAGAAAGACCTGACAAATGGTAGGGAAATATGTAAGGACATTTCTTAGCATCTGTCATCTTTCTCTAGTCATCATAGTTTTTTCTTAAAATTTTTTTTCTGTGAGAATTTTATTCCTGACTTAGAAATGTTAGTACTAGTATTGAATTAATTTCTTTCTGGAACACTTAATATTTTCCTTCACTCTTTTTGGATGAATTGTGTGTATTTTCATTTGTGACTAAGCAATATGGCCAAATGGTTAAGAGAACTGCTAGAAGACAGATTTGCCTGTGTAAGAATTCCAGCTTCGTTGTTTACTGATTTGTTGACCTTGAGAAAGTTATTTAATCCTTTGACCTTCAGGTTGCTCAGAAGTAAAATGAGGATCGAAGTGCTAGACAACCTCAAAAGTGATTGAGGATTTTGTAAGATACTACTGTGTATGTATTACTTGGCATCGTGTGTGGCACACAGAAAGGCCTGTCACTGGTTTTTACTGTCATTTGGTCCTGATAGCAAGGTGTTGGTTGGGGCAAAATGGTTTTGTTGCCCTTTGTTCCTTCAGTCTGTAATGTTTAAGAAGGTCCTTTCTGATGAGTATTCCTAAATATCTCCATTTAAACTTTATTCTCTTTCAGAAGCTCAGTCCTTACAATTGCTAGACAGGAGAATACCTTGTTAGTAACTTTTTGCCTATGTGAGTGTATGTATATTGTCTAATGGGTAACTTTCTTTTGACCTCAGTTTAATGTGTTTTCAGATATTTCAGATAGTTACTGGGTTGTCACGTGGCACATGGACTGACTGTTTAGTTCTCAGAGGCCAGTGAGAACCGGGACTGATGAGGAGAGATTAACAAATGGGCGAATATCAGCTTTAAGACAAGTTTTGTGTGATTCTTTGCAGGATTCATGTTGGATTAATTGTGTATTATTTAATCATCGGCTGAAGTTTCTAAAAAAGTTTCTAAAAATTGAAATCTAAAACTTGAGTCATTTGAAAATCGAATGAGTGACTCTGGGTGTGGTCATGTAGACTGAAATATTGAAGCAGGGGCTGCTTGGCTGCTTGGCACAGATGTTGTAGAATACGTTCATACCAAGTGTAAGTGCTTGAGTTTGAGTTTCCATTTTAGCACCTGTTGTATTTAGTTTGGGCCGCTATAACAAAATACAGTAAACTAGATGGCTTACAAATAACAAATTTATTTCCCACAGTGCTGGAGGCTGGAAGTCCCAAGGTCACACTTCCAGCATAGTTGGGTCCTAGTGAGGCGTGCTTCCCGGTTCATACATAGCTGTCTTCTTCCTGTGTCCTCACATGGTAGAAAGAAAGCAAGGGAGCTTTTGGGGGTCTGTTTTATGAGGACATTAATTCCATTCATGAGGCTTTCACACTGATGACCTAATCACCTCTCAAAGGGTTTAATCACATTGGGCATTAGGATTTCAACATACAAATTTTAAGGAGACACAAACATTTATGTTCTTTTATACTTTTCTGTAGAACAGAAAGAGCTGATATATAAAATAGGCTCGATAGCAAAACCAGACAAGAAGAGAAAAAAATTATATGTCAGTCTTATTTATGAAATAATCCAAAGTGAAATATTAAACCAAATCTAGAAATACATTTTTTTAATTAAAAAAACTTTATTTAATGTTTATTTTTGAGAGAGAGATTGCGAGAGAGAGAGAGAGAGAGACTGTGCGAGTGGGGGAGGGGCAGAGAGAGAGAG